CGAGTGGTCAAGCCGAACGCTTTTGTAGTCGCGAAGGGATGAGACGACTTATGAGATCCTACATGCTTTCTTGTTTGTATATTGAATCCCTCCCAACGTGGCGACACCCCAGGGTCGTTCCCCAGTCGAATCTTGGATTGGCCGCAAACTGCTTGCAGTGCACCATACTCTCTTCCCGAAGAGTAATTTACTGCTGCCTTCCGCAGCAGAGAATCCTCATGGCCTCAATGTTGGAACACCTGTGCATATGGGGGTGCAACAAATGGGTTGAGGACGAGTGTTTTACCATGTACTGGAAAATGAAAAACGTGAAGTTGGCACCGCAACCAGTTACGCTCAAAGCACGCGAACTCAACAGCGGACATCAGTCATCAACCACTCCCGCTTGACATGCTCCTCGACACATTTGTCACTCCATCCACCCATTCCATCGGAAGATTAGGTAGACGCTGGCCTTTACTCTCACCGACGGACAGCTCAAGTCTGACATCCATTAAAGCCCCCGCAGCAGAAACCAAGGAAGCGAAGCTAAGAATAACCAGTCTTAGAAAAGGTGTTGCGAAATCAGCTTTCCAGAGTTAATTTGTTTTAGAGCTTTTTATCAAAACAAAACTGCGCATTCTTCATCGGTTTTCTTTTACCTTATGGGTTTCTTTCGATCGGTTCATCATCGGTCGTTCTTCGGAACCGCAATACTGTGAATGTCGCTAATAAATTCTCTCTGCGGTCGAACAGCTGTTAAACGCTGTTCAGTTTTATTGATTTCACTTTTCGCCCTGAGGTCCGGTCTTTTGCTGTGGCTGTTTGGAGCTGCAGTGACGCGAATGATTCGATCGATTATGTGAGACGATTTCGATAGATAACACATTTCAAGTATCTTCGAAAATCCTGACCAATTCAATGTTTGCATCCACTTAACCGGAGGTTGGGAAGAAGTGTGTAGCCCTATCCCTTCAAGCCATGGCCACAGACGCAACAGCTGAAGGTTATAAGTTCTGCTCCATCGACAGAACATGAAATCAATGACTGCTTCTGATGTTGGGTAAAACCCTGCGCATTCGTTTGTTACCGCCCGTCCCAAGTCACTCATTTCCTAACCTTTGTCTGACGGTACCCACAGGGGCGCGTGTCGCTCGTGCTAACAGCTTCCAGTGTACGCTACACTCACGGGCATTACCTGTGAGGGTGGACATGCCCCAACTGTCACATTATGTCGGGGTCCAGTTTTCTTGCGACAAATTAATGTCTACAAACTGAACGAGGGACGGATATAGACCAATTCCTTACAAGAAGTCTTCACGTCCGGCACGGTAGATTTTCCAGTGCCCACCGTGTTTCTAGATTTCGACGCAATCTGATTTAGTGCCACGGTTTACTTTGAAGCAGACCTCTGCCATTTCGACCACATAGACCGCATTCGAAGTGAAGTTTTTGTGCTGCTCTATCCCACCGATACACTCGACGGTCAGGTTCCTCCTGGTTTGGACTTTTCAGGTATTGGATTAATCTCTACTACAAGCTGCATCCCTGGAAGACTTAGAGTGTTCTCGGTTTGTACCACTGTAGTGTCGGAAAGTTGGACCAGTCAAGGCACATCGTTTCGGCAAGGAGTATGTTAAAATGGCTCGGCGGCAACACAGACTGCGGGACAAATTCCTCCTCTCCGGCTCTTCCAACTACTATCACAGGCAACGAAATATTTGCAACGTTGCTAAAAGGAGCAAACGCCAGCGTTTCGAAGAGCAGCTCGCAAAGTTCGCCCCGAAAAGAATCTTCGCTTACTTGAAGCGGCGCCTCAAGTCCGCAGGTGTGGTACCAGTGCTAGAGAGTTTGAACAGACGTCATATCACCTCCAGCATTGAGCGTGCGTCTAAGTTGGCGGTGCACATCGCTTTCGTATTTGCAAATAACCAGGTGTCTTTGCCGAGTTCGACGTATACCACAGTTACCGAACTCGACAGTTTGGTTTGGGGTATTGAACAGGAGCGTCAACTACTCGCCAACTTTGACGGCACCAAATCTGCTGGTCCCGACAGACTCCATTCTTGTCGGCTATCATCTTGCGTGTCTTGACTGACTTGGTTAACTGGTCGCTCTCCGAAGGTTCCTTGCCGAACGACTGAAAACGCTCAGTGGTAAAGCCGATTCCGAAAGACGGCGACCCTAGCAAAGTAGACAACTAAAGGCCAATTTGTATACCACTTATTTTGGCTATGGTTGTGGAGAAGATCGTGAGGTAAAGTCTATTACAGATGCTTCAATAAAAGATCTACTGATGTCAGCACACCACGGCTAGGCCGCTCGTGCTTTGCCAACCTGCTAGTGACGAGGCATGAGTGGTTGCAAACAGTGAAACACCTGAACTCCGTCGATGTGATCTACGTCGGCAAGCTGATAGTGTGCGGTGTTGGTGAATTACTGCGCCAATGGATCCTAGACTTTCTCGTTGAGTGGAAGTGTAGGCTACAGATCGATGGCCATCTAATCGACTGGTATTTCTTTATTAGTGGTGTACCCCAAGGCTCGGTGCTGGAGCCCACTCTGTTCCCAATCCATATAAACAATCTGCCTTAGCTTCTTCGGTCGCCTTGTGCCCTGTTTGCGAATGACCTGAAGATTGGGAGAGCGATTTGCAGCCCACTCGACTGCGGCCTACTTCAGCATGATCTCAGCCCATGCATGTGGTCCGCAGCGGTCCACATTCCAGTCAACCTTGAGCCTGAGGAAAGGTGGTGACCGTTGAACTTACACCATTGATACCCAGCTGCTACATCCTATGCTATTCATGAAGGACTAGGTGTATTCTCGCGCTGCGTCTTGTCCGCGGAAAACGAACAGAATATATCGTAACGAACTGCGCATGCTGCGGGCGGTCTGAAAAGGTCGTCACCCGCCACTTCTAACACACGACAAATGTTAGACTACGGCTCGCCCGCTTACTGCCCAATCACGTGAGGCGAGACACAGGAGATCGAACGGATCCAGCACGTCACTACCAGACTCATTCCGGGTTTACGAGGATTGTTTTACGAAGACCGGTGCGCGAAACTACTACTGTATACCTTGTCGATCTCCTCGTGACCTACCGCATATTTCATCTCGGTGACTTCCTCATGTTGAGGCCGCTACTTCTCTTGGGAACGCCATTCACCACACGCGGGCATCGTTACAAACGTGTGGTTCGGAATGTAAAGCGAGTTCCCCACCCCCTATGCTTTGAGTGGAGAGTTACACGTTTGGAACAGTCTGTCAGAACAAGTCGTGTAGGCCAAATCTGTGCGTCATTTCATATCTTTGTTGGATTTACATTTCACCACCATACGCTTCAGAGAACAATTGCACACCTTGGCATTGATCTCTCACTGTAAGTCAGACATTATTAAATAGTACATACGAAATTGGAGTACCTTTAGAGTGTAAACAAGGGGCAGATACTTTTATGACCTTTTTAATCATATTCCAGTGGAGTTGTATAGAGTTAAATATCTACTTGCTCCTACAATACAATATCAGTCAGCCGGAGCTGAGAGTGAAACAGTACACATTTGTCGGTAGCTTACGCCTTCATTCCTAGGCCATTGAACTCCGCGTGCACCACTTCTTTGTTAAGCCGGGTTCCACACTTAGCTCAATCTGTCGCCTAATGCGTACACGCTTTCGATATTTTGGCGTCCTATTTGTGCGCATGCACTAACTTTGTCTAGTCAGTACTCTGCTTGTCACAACAGGGTTGAGCCGAACAGAAGCATTCATGTTTTGTCGGACTCTGCTAGCTTAAAGAGTGAATCAGTCGCCAGTAAACATGACCAACGAGTAAGGCGAGTACGCGGCAAAAATGGAGTTGATTGCAGGCCAAAACGTGAACCAGTGGGGAGTTAACTTACACTGTGCCGCCTGCGCTGCTTATCGTTCGATCGCTTATGAGAGTTGATTTCAGATCCATACTAGTCTGTTGATTGATATCTTCCCGGTGTCACAATCTGACCGTGGGGCATCGGCTGGGTTAGACTTTGCGTTCAGCCTGTTCTGGTCTTCGGGACAGATGTTTGAGTGACCACGGTTCGCGAGTTCCATTGGCCTGCTGTCGAAGAAGTGTCCCCTCCTGGCAACTCGTTACAGCTGCCCACGGGGTCACCGCCAAATCTTACGTTGCTTTTACTTGAGCTCATTCAAAGAGCTTTATAGTATTAAACATTCTCTTACCGTCTCATTCTAGCCCGGTGACTACTTGCCTTTCCACTTTCGTGCCACGCTACACCTTCCTGCATCTAATGTTTGCTAAGTGTGTCCAATTGGAGGAGTGTGTGTGTGTGTGGAGGAGTGTGTGTGTGCGTGGAGCATTGTGTCCAATTTAGAGGTAGTTCTGTTGCTGTAATCTTGGCGCTTGTCTGCCTCCTTCCTATCAGTATCACGCACTATTTCGGTAACGCGTGGCGATAATTGCAGCGTGCACATAGATTAGGACTGTCAGCTCCGTTTTGTAACCGCTAGTAGGATGCACGGCTGTGGCGCAGACTGGCTTTTTTCATAGGGGCCCGATCGTAGATGCCCTTCAAGCATGGTTCCATGCCAGTAGCTTCAGCGTGAGCTCAGAACAAACTAGTTTGTAGCTCATTGGCCAGCAGCCAGCCAACAAGAGAGCTTTCTGGTAGCTTGAAATCTTCCTCCAGGTCATTTCTTTTGAGCTATATAACCAGATTCATTTTTACTGTTTTGACGTTGCATTTTTCGGGGCTTAGTTAAAGGTTTTGGTGAGTCATTTGTCTTCTGATTTGAGAAGTGGCTGGACCGTGGTTTGTTAAACTTTGTTGATTATCTTTGTATCAGCAGAAACCTAACAATTCTCTCTCTTCATTTTTGTGGCCAATTATTTTTCTCCGTTTTGTCCAGTTTTATCGGGGTTGTTGCAGCTCTCCCTGAATGCGTGTAAACCTCAACAGAAACAGCTCTTTTAGATTTCCTTGACGTAAAATAGAATGCTTCTATTTTCTTCCTTCTAGGTGTCCCTATACTTCACCTCATCCCATCTCCTCTTCCCGAAGTGTGGCATCGTTTATCAGACAATGCGACTAACATCGATTGGGATTCTTCCATGGATATGCTTAACATGGTGAACGCCTTCTTGTATTCTGTACTCCACCTAATGTAATCCCAAACAAGATACGTGTGCATGATAACGTTTTTCCGGCTGTCGTTTTCATCTCACTCCCCGCCATGTTATTTTGAATTACTTTGAGGCCTTTTGCTATGGTGTCTAACTCACTTGTTTCCTCTTTTACTTTTTGAATGAATCGCTTGCAGTTTTTTGCTTCTAAGAAATCACTCGTGTAACTGGGAACAAGCGAAGTATCCATGTCTTTCACTACTTCTCCATCATACCAGTTTTACCTGACGCTTCCCACAACAAAATGGTGTTCAGCTTTACCCACTTCCGTTATGATTTGAAACTTTTTGTTGGCGTTTTTTCATCCATTAAGCTACTGTAACGTGGTTTTTCAAGACACATTGGCATTAAGAATGAGTACCACTTTCACCTTTGCGTTATTTTAGTTACGTAAAACTGGCATCAGTAGTGCATCTGTACTCATTGTCGACGCTTCGCGACTAGCTTTAAAGCCGGCCACACCTACACCGATTGGAACCAGTGGCTACTCGATATTTGGCTTGTTTCAACTACGTACTGTTGTGGCCCACCATTCATATGGGCCTCTGTGGTCTGGTTTAAGCGCTTCACTATCTGCTTTGTCGCAGTTCTTTCACATCATTGGTACGCAAGCTTACCAATTGGGCTGTTATCCGGTGACCTTTAAAGTAGCCACGTAAGTAGCCATTTTTCGGACCCTTGGATTAACAGAAAACGTCTCGATCTTGACATTATGGTTCGACAACTGCTTCCAAATGCTTATGCACACCAGCGAAAACTCGCGCGATCGCATTCCCCATCCTTTTTGTCTTTTTCTGTGCCAATCTTAGTCAGAGCATATATCAGAACGATCATTTCTGCGCATCGTTTCGTTTTGCTGCCTTTGGTTGATACGCTCTATATAATTTATCGAGAAATCTGTTAGTCTAAGTTACTCATTGTGGTCATCTTTGCGGTTACCGACTACTCATATTTCATGCGTTCCACAGTTGTTTATCGATGGTCCATGCAGTATGGGTCTGCTAACCACCACTCACTTTCCATAATTCTTTGTTTTCAAGATTGTAAGGCGCTTTAGAACAGTATGAGTTCCTTTAGCTACCACTGTAGATTCATCCACGCTGAATCCTCCTTTTTATCACTCTTTAATTGATTCGGCGGACTACCATTATAAGGCGTGATTTATTTCACTGACACTCTTCACATGCTTCCAACAACTTGTATTGGCGCTAATTTACACTAAAAGGCTTCTATTTTCGTGGCTACCTAGTAAGCTACCCCGATGCAACCGCTATTCTTAGTTGACCTCTAATTTGTGCCGCATTGGAGACTGCTTACCTGAGCTTCTGTCAAAGTAAGCAGCCACTTTAATTCATCCTAATACCTGTCTACATATGCACCCGTTGTGACAATTTCTTCTATGACTGAGCAAAAACACTTAGTTTGAGAACCGTGATCGCTTTGCAACACAATACACTTAAGTACCATATGTTTAAGTAACACGTTTAACGAGACAGCACATTGCGTGATGCCGACTACTCGTTAATCGACTTCATTCGCCGATCACAGCAACAATAACGATGTGCTCCTCGACCACACGAGATCACTCCTTTTGTGACTTCGAACAGCGTCTGTCAGCATAGAAGTTGGTAAAGGATGAAACTGTTTCCATTTTCACTAGAATTATTTTCTATTGTACTATGATCAAGACCAAATAACGAGCCTGCAGTTGGCGTGGAGTCACCAGACTCGCACACGACCTGGGCGATAACATTTCAAGATCATAAGTGGAACATGTTGCTTACTTTAAACTAGTTCTACACTTGTATTTACAAGCGAAGGAGTGTAGTGGGTTCAAGGCTAAATAAAGAAACTGGTTATACAAATTGAACGTTTGACAGGTGTCCCCTAGAGTCGGGGTGAAAACAGTGCGATCGAACGTAATTTACATATAGTTATGCTACTCAAAAGTGTAAGTAGAATAACTAATCAGAAATTCGGTTCACACCCCCCCCTATATCACCGGCCTCTCCTTTGACATTCCATTTGTATTCTCCCGCATCAAACATGCTTGTCTCAGACCTCTATTCTGAATCTTTTTCCGATTCTATTTCCCGTAACCTCACATAGCTCTATCACGATCAACCATTATTTCCTTCGCGGTACCCTTAGGCCACAAACCACTTGGAATGCACAAAACTGCCACTATGGCTGTATCTTTTAAGCGTCATTTCGACATACCTTAAAAGTGCTTAACTAAAATATCAAACAATGCTTTCCAAACGATGCACTTCACATATTGAGGCTATATATGTATTTACGTAACTCCTGTGACTCAATGCTCTTTTGCCAGTGAAGCTATTCTTACTGAACATCTGCTTGACTTGGAGTATGCGGATTATATTGCCCTAAACTGTGACAGCTCCCTACTGTGCCAAAGGATACTGGATCGATTAGCACTATCTGTCAATCGTTTTGGGATATTCTTCTCCCCATCGTATTGCAAATTCCCCTGTACTGACCCTTGGTAGTAATAACGATAATAATAATGCGTATATCCCGATTGTACGAATAGCTGTCCATGGATTGTGGACAGATCATGGGTACAATAATTATCATGCTCATGCATGAGTGAAATATGTAATATAGTGTGTATGATATCCAAATAATTTGGAATAATGTAACATTTTTTGTTGCTGAATCCTTTGTACCATCTTTTATCATTGATTATATATTCCTTAGTCCATCCTGAAAGAACTCGTGTGGTGATTTACTCGATGGAAACATGGTCATTATCGAGTTCTGCTCAAAGAATTTGCTAAGCTGAATGTGGAATGCTCTTGCATTTGCGCAAGACCTGATTGTAGCTGCTAGACTATTCCACACGACAGCGTATCTGACGAGAAAGAAATTTAATCGGATAGCTTCGCTGGTTCTTGGCACACATAATGTACCTATCTTGTTGCGTTTATTCCCAGTGAACTTATGTTAAATTTTAAGTGTACACAGATAGGAGTATGTTTTTTGGTTTATGAGATTTTGTATCGGCATCAGGTTATGCTTCAGTCGTCGCAACCAAAGGAACTCGTGCTTAAGCTGCTGGCAGCGTTCCTGATAATTCAAGTTGGTTGATTTACTGAACAAGCGCTTGGTGAATCACCTTTGCAGGTTTTCCAAAGCTTGCACATAGATGATGCTGTGGTATTCAAGGATAGGAAGTGTAAGTACTTTGAAAAGCTCGAGTCTGGCAGGGGTTGTGTAGATTTATGATGTATGTTAGCCACAGATCGTTTGGCACGTTCTATTTGATACTTAGCATGTTCTGAGAAATTAAAGTTTGAAGAGTATCGTATGACTAGACCATAGTTTAATAGTTTCACACAGATACGTTCATTGTTCAGTTTAACAGACTCTTCTGGAATTAAACTGCCGTGTGACATAATGCATGATTTATTAGCATTCATGTGTTGCACCATTTCTCAAGTGAATCGAGGTCTTCTTGAACGAACAGCATTTCGCTATTGAGTTTGTCTCGTCGAAATTTATACACAACCATTATGTCATCGGCGAACAAAAATGGCCTACCATGTTTTATGCACACCGTAATATCGTTAATATAAAGTATGAAAAGCGAAGGACCAATTGCACTCCCTTGGATGACACCACTAGTGATTGGTCGTGGGAAGGAGTTTTGATTACCCAGAGTGACTGTATAGTAACGCCCATTTAGGTATGATGTCAACCAACTAAATAGTGTTCTCTGGTTCCAAACGACTCGATTCTTTTAAGTAGCCGCTTGTAGGGCGTTCTGTCGAATGTCTTCTGCATATCCAGGAGCCTTATTATAACTGCATATTTCGAATCACTGGCTCCTGTGATGTAATCCAAGCAGTGCAACTGACACGTTGTACAGGAACGTTTGTCGAGGAGCCCACGCTGGGATTTGTTAAGTAGCCCATGACGATGGATAATGTCCATGACTTTTAACTAATTTTTCGAGTAATCTAGCAGTGATTTGTCGTGCTGTTTGGGCCCTCCTATATTACGATGGTCCGGAAGTTAGCTAGGTTCTAAGCACAAGGTGAACATGTTTATCAAAGGCAGTGGTATGTCAAGTCCACCACGTTTAATAACTGATGAGGGGAAGCCGTCGGCGTCTGGTTTGAGCGATGACTTGTTGGACTTCATACTCTGTTGGATGGTCGAAAGAGAAATCTCGACATTATCTATGCCGTTTGTTGTAAGTTCCGGGCAGCAAGGTATAGGGTCGGATTCTATGTTCATGGTAGCAGCGAAAAGAAACTGCTAAACGCTTCACAAATAGCGGGTAGGTCGTTAAGGTGGCGACCCTCCTCATCAATAAGTTATGTAATCAAAGACATTCGATTGTTAGTCCTACGACGGAGTAATTTGGTCATTTCTTTGCCCTTGCATGTCATCTGCAAGGCGTTCTTCTCTTCATTTTCAATCCATTTCATTTGTGAGCTCTTGATGCAGGCGGTAGATTCGTGCAGCTGTACTACTAGTGAGAAGTCTCTAGTTTTTCTGAATTTCCCGAGTAGTTTTCTCGTTTTCAAGTCACTCAGAGTGTCACTTACATTCATAGGAGAAGGAATGGTACGTTTATTATGCGGGACCTCTACAGTTAGTATGTGGTTGATCTGGTAGTAGAAATGTTCCACTGCACTGGGTGCTAGTGGAGCGAACAACCCATCCAAGTTAGAGGATCATATCTGCTTTCCGAAATGCTCCCAGTCAATTCTTCATATTGTATGCTGGGTAGGTGAGTCGAGTTTGGTATGCATTTCCAAGTGGATGGGAAGGCGTAGCATGTTGTGGTCACTACGCGGAATGTTGTCTAAGATGCCAATTTGTACGTCAGGAATCCCTACGGTGAAGATTAAATGCAGTATGTTGGCAGACCTAGTTGGTCTGGTAACCCACTGGGTCCAATCCCAAACTCTGATAATCGATAAGCAAGATCTGTGCAATGATGAGGATGTTTGTGGTGACTAAGTAATACTCAGTAGATTGAAATCGCTAGCGATTATCTTTAGACCGTGTGGTAACACCGATGCGAATTCAAAAGCCGAGGAGATAATTGCGATATCTTTGGCTGTCGCTTTTGGAGGGTTGTTGATGCAACCGAGAAGTATGGTAGAGGAGGCTGCAGCGATTGATAGCCATAGAGATTCTGGGACATTGTTTAACTGTGGGTCATCAATAAACTCTGCTCTAAAATTCTGATGGAGATATACGATGCAACCGCCACCATTGTGCTGCGATCTTCACGAAATGGATAGTAGTTAGGAATATCTAAATTAGCATCCAATGTACCAAGGGAGCACCATGTTTCGGTGACGACGATTACATGT